AAGTTTTAAAAGATCTAAATGACACTATCAACCACCTTAATCTAACTGACCATTCATGAAATTTATATCAAACAACTGCAGAATTCACATACTTTTCAAGTGCACACAAAACATTTCCCAAGAAAGACTATAAAACAAGTTTTTCTTGATTTTGAAAGATTGAAATCTTACAGAGTATATTCTCTGACCACAACTAAATTAAATCTGAATTAAATTGGAAATCAATAACAGTAAGACAACTTCAAAAACATAAACTATTTGGAAATTATAAAACAAACTTCTTAATACTACATGGTACAAAGAAGAAATCATGAGAAAAAGTAGATAATAAAAACACAATGTATTTACATCTGTGAATGTAACTAAAGTAGTGCTTAGATAAAAATTTACAGCTTTATATAATTGTATAAAACAAGAAGAAAGATCTAAAACCAACTATTTAATCTTCCACCTTAAGCTAGAACTAGAAGAGCAAATTAAAATAAAAGTAAATTGAATGAAGAAATTAATAAAGACATTGACACTAATATATCACTGGTAGGAATTTAAAATGGCACAGTCATTTTGGAAAGGCTTGGCAATTTCTTATAAAGTTACACATGTGCTTAACATAAAACCAAGCAATTTTATAGCTAGGTATTTATCCAAGAGAAATGCAAACATACATCCACAAAAAGACTGTTATACAGAAATGTTCATAGCAACTTTATTCATAATAGCCCCAAACTGGAAACAACTCAAATGTTCATCAACAGGTAAATGGGAAAACAAATTGTGGCATATCCATACAGTGGAATATAGTTATGCAACAGTAAAAAAAAAAAAAAAAAAAAAAACCCAAAAAACTAGTAATTTATGTAACAACAAGGATGCATCTCAAAACATAATGCTAAGTGAAAGAAACCAGACACAAAAGTATGGTATTGTTAAATTAAGACATAGTGAACTGTAACCTAATTCAATGTGTAAACAGACTGTGAACTACTTTTATAACAAGTAGCTGTGTCTCAGACAATTACATGCAGCCAACTGTTCAAACTATGTTCAAACAAGGCAAATGCCCAGCAGTAAGCAATCCAGCTGTTTCTATACTTCATCTCCATTTTCTGTCACTTTCTTTTTTCTGTCTATAAATTTTAGCCAATGGAAGCAGCCCTAGAATCACTCTGAACCTGTTCTGGTGCTGGTGACAGCCCAATTCACGGATCATTCTTTGCTCAATTAAACTCCATTAAATGTAATTTGTCTAAAGTGTTTTTTTAAATCATATAATATGTATGGTATCACACATACCATCTGATTCCATGTATACAAAATCCTAGAAAAAGCAAAACTAGTCTAGAATGACAGAAAGCAGATCAGTGTTTGCCTGAGGTTGGGAGTTGACTGCAAAGAGGCATGAGGGAACTTTTTGATTGAAATATTCTGTATGTTGATTGAGTGGTTTCTATTACATAGTTAAATATGTGATAGAAATGAAGGGTCTCTCATTTATTCAATTTATTATTCAATATATACCTAAAAGATTAAAACAGTTAATATGTTAAACTAGGAAAACATATAAGAAAATACTTACCAAAACATAGACCTCTAAATTTAAAAATTAAGTTGTACATATGAAAAGCCAATTAAAATGACAAAAAGTTAATATTTTAGTTATATAAAAAACTCACTCAAAGTGATCAGGAAAGAAATAAAAATTATATATGGGCAAAGATGGGAATATACAATTCACAAACTAAAATACCAAAAAAAAGTCTAACCCACCTGGAAATTAAAGAAATACAATTATTTTTAACTCCATAAATTAGAGAAGTAAAAATTTAATGCTGGCAAGAACATGACATGATTGGTTATTGGAATACACTGCTGATGGCAGAGTAAATTAATACAAAGTTTTTGAAAAATATTTTGCCAATATATATGTCTTTAAAGCATTAAAATGTACCTTTTGACCTATAAAACCCATTTCTAAAAATCCTGATAAAATAATTTTAAAATAGCTTTGTGCAAAAATATGCTTGTTACAATTCTATTTATACTACTAAAATACTAGAACACTTAAGTAAATTATGGTTTATTCATCTGATAAAATATTATAGAGCCATCAAAATGGATTCCTGAGAGGGCCGCAGCCCCCTCTGCCCAGAAGCAGCCAAGAGAGCACACCCAGTGTCCTGGGCAAGGAGCCAAGGGTCTCAGCTCCCAGTGCCTGGAAATAGGCAAGAGAACATGCCAGGGGGCCTAGGCAGGCAAGAGAGCATGTTCAGGGTCCTAGGCAAGGAGCCTAGGGCCACAGCCCCCTCTGCCTAGAAGCAGGCAAGAGAGCACATCTGAGGACCTAGGCAAGGAGCCAAGGGCAGTACCACCCCACCCAAAAACAGGCAAGAGAGGTTGCCAAAATCATCACTTCCCCACAGGTGGCCCACCACAGCCACCACCACAACCACAGCTGCTGAAAAAGTGGCTTGATGCCACAGCAGCAGCCACAGCTACCATAAAGGTGGCCCACCAGACACTCAATTGCATTGACACAAGGAGTCAACAGTGGAAACCAGAAAAAGAAGAGGCTGTCTCTCTCCTCAAAGCCCACTCCAGAGTAATAAAAGAAGCAACTGCTCCACAAGATGACCAGACATCAACAGAGAGATATTAGAAATAAAAAAACCTAAGAAAATATGATGCCATCAAAATAGTACAGTAATTCTCAAATACCAGACCCTATAGAGCAGGAAACCCTTGAAATGACTGAAAGGGAATTCTGAGCAACAATCTTAAGGAAACTCACTGAGATATGAAGACTCAGTTAGAAAACATAATGAAATGAGAAAAAGTCCAGGATATGAAAGAGGAAATTTACAGAGATTTATACCTTAAAAAAGAATGTAGCAGAACTCATAGAACTGAAAGAGTCACTCAACAAAATAAAAAACACAACCAAGAACTTAAGCAGCAGAATAGAACAAGCAGAAGAAAGAATTTCTGATCTTGAAGATGGCCTTTTTGAAATAACCCATGTGGACAAAAAAAAAAAAGGAAAAAAGAATTTTTAAAAATGAAGAAAATCTAAGAGAGCTAGCAGAAAACTTTAAGTGCACAAACATTCAAATCATGGGTATTCCAGAAAGGGAGGAGAAAGGAAAGGACATGGAAAACCTATTCAATGAAATAATAATAGAAAACTTCTCAGGTATAGGGAGAGACACAGACCTTCAGATCCAGGAGGCTCAAAGATCCTCAAACAGATTTAACTCCAAAAGATCCTCTCCAAGACACATTATAGTCAAACTGGCGAAGCTCAAAGACAAAGAGTCTTAAAAGCAGCAAGAGAAAAGTGTCGTCACCTATAAGGGAGCCCCTATCAGACAAACAACAGACATCTCAACAGAAACTCTACAGGCCGGAAGAAAATTGGATGATATATTCAAAATAATAAAGGAAAAAAGCTGGCTGTCAAGAATACTATACCCACCAAGGCTATCCTTCAAAAATGAGGGGAAAATAGTTTATTTCCAGACAAACAAAAGCTGCGAGAGTTCATCACCACACAAGCAGCCCTACAAAAAATCTTCAAGGAAGTCCTGCATCTGGAATCTGAAAAATGATAATCACTACCATGAATACACAGGAAAGGACAAAACTCACTGGTAGAACAAAAATGCAAACAAGAAAGAGAATGAAACTAAATCTTACCACTACAAAAGCCATAGTGACAGTGTCCCAATGCCCCTACTTTTTTTCTGATTTTAGTAACTTCAGTCTTCTCTCTTTTTTCTTGGTCAGTCTAGATAAAGGTTTGCAAATTTTATTGATCTTTTTAAAGAATCAACTTTTGTTTTTGATATTCTCTCCTGTTTTTAAATTCCCTACTTCATATATTTCCGTTGTAATCTCTGTTATTCTCTACTTATATTGGCTTTTGGTTTAGTTTGTTCTACTTTTTCTATTTTCTTGAGGTTGAAGTTTACATTACTGATTTGAGATTTTTCTTATTTTTAATATAGATGTTTACAAGTATAAATTTTCTTCTAAGCGCTGCATGAGTCCTGTAGCCTATAAATTTTGATATGTTGCACTTTGATCTTTATCTCAAAGTACTCCCTAATTTCCCTGTGATTTTTCTTTTTCTCCGTTGTTTATTTAGGAGAAAGCTATTTAATCTCCACACATTTGTGAGTTTTTAAATTTTCCTTCTGTTATTGCGGCCAGAGAACATCTTTTCTATGATCTTAGTCTTTTAAAAAAATGAAAAATTTAAACAAAAACAAAAGCAAAAAGTTCATGAAAAGATTTCCTTTATCTTTCCACTCTATGTTTCCACGAACTTTTTGCCCTGTGTTTTTATTCTGTTTTATTGATTTTTTATGCAATTTATGTTGCTAAACTTAGATTATTTAATGTTTGTTCTTGATTTCTTTTTACTAAGTGGACTTGTTGATTTACTCAGAAATTAATTTGCCTTTGAAAAGTTTGTTCATCTTCCTCTGTTGAAATTAATTTGATATTTGCATGCTTTTGGAAGACTTTATAGAGCTATTTCAAATAATTGTAGAGATCATAAAATGAAATATGTCCATTTTAATGTTTTACATCTCCAGTTTTTGTAAAAATTTGAAGCCCTACTTCCTACAGAGTATTTTGTTATTCATCTCTTTTTCAGTTTATGTATTTGTTCTTTGAACAAATAAATGTGTACATCCCTAAATCTTAAAAAAGTGAAAAAAGTGGATTCATACAAAACCTATGTAAGTACAAGAAAACCACTTAAAATCTAGACATAAAATTGTATGTGTACTATTTATTACAAATGAGATTTTAAAAGGTTTTTAAAGACAAATGTAAAAAATATGTACAACAATAAAACTGACTCTGCCACCATTTGTGCTGGGGAATTGGGACTATTGGTAACTTTTCTTTCTCTTTAGATATAAACTCTAACGCAATCATAGATATATTTAATTTAAAAACGTAGTATGGGTGAGTGATGGGAAAACACTTACTCGGCACCTTCGGTGTTTATGTTACTGCTGTCCTTGCCGTGACCTCTAGCCATGAACACACAGTTGATGATGACAGTGCAGATGATTAACATGCTGAACAATGTGACTGGCATCCATTAAGGCAGATACACAGCAAGATGGCACATGTTGTTAGTTATTGTGGCGAAGACTGTGGGTGTTCCTCCAGGCCCTTCTTTCCACAGGTACATCTATCCTCTGGCTGTGAGTGCTGGGGAACAGCTCACAACTGTTTCTTCCTCTGGAGAATGGCAGCCCCCTGACCTGGGGAGCTACAGACCCCTTCCACGCATTGCACTGATTTAGACCCTTGCTTCAAAGTTGGACGGTTCTGTGGTACTGGTCATGGTCCAGAGATCCCCATGGAATTGGGCTGAAGCAAATTCAGCTGAGACCACGTCCTTGCTTGGCTCTTCCTTTCACCCCATTCTGCTTCCTTTTCCTTCCAGAGAGCACACCTCTATTAAATCACTTAAATAAGAATCCCCATCTCACGCTCTGCTTCCAGGAAGCCCAATCTAAATAGAAGTTCATTATCATTCTGCTCATTATTTGATTATGTCTACAGATCCATGCTTTTTTTCCAGCTCCCCTTGCCTAAAACCCCCTAATGTCTCCCCCAGCACAGCAGAAATGCTTAATAATTCCTACCTGTCTTTATCCTTTAAGACTGAGGTTGCAAACTCTACGTCTTAAGAGCCTGGCAGGTCATGGGTGAAATGGGCTGATACTGGGCCATGGGAGGAGTGCAGATGGGATGAAACAGAGCTTACATGCCCCCACTAAAAGAGGCAGCTGTTTCTCACTGCACCAATTTTTGCCAAGTAGACACATGGGTCTTGCTTTGCCAGAGGTTCCATTTTTCTGGAGAGGATGAAAATCTGAATCTGTATTCCTGTTAGAAACTGTCTCAAAAAAGTTTTAAACACCGTGTAGGTCCAACACAACACATTTATCAGCTGATATGGTGCACAGGTTGCCAGTTTGCAAACCTTGTTTGGTTGTGCACTTAGATTTTCTTTCCTCCAGGAAGCCATCCTTAATGCCTCCAAAGCACAGCAGTGCCTCTCCATGCTACCACTTCTGAAAAACTGTTCTCATTAAAGAAATTGCCTGTCTTTTGGTCTATCTCCTTTTGGCCTATCTGAGGCTGCAGAATCCCAGAACAGGCACCACACCTTGCTCACACCCAGCACCCAACACAGTACTTGCCACGCAGCAGCAGGCATCCAGCCAGTATCTATTGAAAGAATGAGCTATTTGTCTCCACTCAATAAACATTTGAACACCCTGGACTCACACACTTTTCACATGACTTGGACATAGCAAAAGGCGCAACAAAAGGATATGAATGGACTGAGATTCTAATGGCTAAACTTCTGATTGGATTGAAAGGTCCCAAAATGAACAAGGCACGCTTGGCACTGAAGCGGTAGATTGTTCTCTGTTTGTTCAACACCATAAATGTCTGCAAACAAACCAAACACAACAGGAATTAAATGCAGTGACAAAACAATATTTGTCATGAGTTCATTTAGAGAGAATTCAGTGGAACCATGGGTTGAGGCCTGGCTTGGCTTATTATGAGAACTGTAGCTTCTGATAGCAGGGCTGTCTCTCCAAAGCCGAAGGTAATATTTGACCAGCTACATGGTGACTCTGGAGGCCAACAGATCTCCCCATGTGGCCTGGGTCACAAGATAAGTGTTGGACTGTGGACTATGCACCTGATGGGATACTCAGAAGGAATCAGAGATGGAGAACATGGGTCCTGAAAATATGAAAATTAGGGATATAGACTAATAACTGGGGCAAAAAAACCCCCTGAATATTGTACTGCGTGGTATGTATCTGAAGGCAAGGACTAGAAAAGAACTGAAGAGACAGAAATTGAGTTTGGACATTCAGATTCAACAGATTATTCTAAATTATTTCGATTGTTAATGAAAACTTTGTAATGAAGCTTATAGTAGTAAGGGACCTATAGAGTCTACATTGTTATGCCTCAGGTTTGAGCAATTTCAGTTTTAGTAGTTTCTTGAGGGTCTTCAAGAAAAAAGTCACCAAGGTTCTTAGACTTGCTCTCCCATTCCCCCCCATGGACATAGGGGCAAATCTGCCTGAGGTTCTTAATTGGTGGGAGAGGAAGGTATTGCCCCTACAAAAGGTGTTTGGAAATGTGTGTGGGTGTTTCGGTTGTCTGTCACAATGACTGGGAGCTCTACTGGCCTTTAGTGAGTAGATCCAGGAATCCCAAACACAGGACACACCTGTGTCAAATGGCACATTGTCCCACCCATAATGCCCAATTGGGCCCCACTGAAGAACACTAAACTCCTAGCTGTCTTCCTGGCTCTGGGAATGAAGCAGCCCCTGGACAACAACCCTTCACTCACAGGCTTCCAACATCAACCCCAGGCCTCCCTCTTTCCATTTAACTGTAATATGGCTGTCCCCTTATCTGTCTCCAAGGTTGTCAGTTACAAAAGCCTTCACAGAGTGAGGGTCATTCCTGTTTCCTCATCTCACTCCTTTCATATTTGCAAAAAACAAAAAAACAAAACCGTTACTTGACCATGTAATTCAGCATGTTCTCAGATAGGAAAGACAGATGTTGGCACCCAGGCCCAAAGATAGCAGAGTGAGTGCTGCCTTGGTTTATGTTCCAGCACGTTAGCCACTGCCAACCATTAGCCTTCCTTCAGTGAGTTGCTGGAACTTATTGGTCTGGTGGCCATCTGGCCGCAGGGAAATGTGTGGACAGGGATATCTTCCTTTGCCTCCATAGCAAAATGAAGTGAGACACAGGGTTCTTTAAAAGCTACAATCCCAGGAACCTAAGACCCACTTTGGAGATTCTATGCCCTTCCTTTGAGTAGACAGACAATTTTAGGGCAAAGAGCAAACCTCCCTTTCAGGTGGGTCACCCCAGATTAATAGGTGGCATGAAATGGCTCTGCTTCTGTGCCCTTTGATTTTGATATTTTATTAATGCTGCTTACTGCTTTAAATATTTTAACTAATGGTATACTTAACTATATTTGCCAGGGCTTTAATGATTAAAATGGTAGGTACCAGCTTCTCCTGCCTGTTTGCTGATTCATCTCCATTCCTTTTCCCTGTAGCTCTTCAAAATGGGAGCTTCTAAAGAGAGTAAATGGCCTGCGACTGTAGAAAGAGCCTTTGGGTTTGTACCCTAGCTCCACTACCACCTGGTCGTTTGACCTGGCATATGTCACTTCCCCATGTAGGCTTTCTTTTCCTCATCTGTCAGGAAGAGTGCTAATGATAATCACAGGTACCTCAAGTGACTGTTGAGAGCACTGAACCTGTGAAATCATGGGTGTGCACAGCTCTAAACAAATATCATATCTTCTGATTTAAAGAGAGGACCCAGCCCAAGAAGAGATGGTTCTAGAATATTCCCCCAGGCTGTGAATGAGCCTGTCCTTCCAGGACTGTCCACAGCACAACCAGCTGTTGCCTGACTGATGGGTTTCCCATGCAGCACTGAGGCACAAGGAGGCCCCTGGCAGTTAACTCGCCCCCAGTGACCATGCTCCCAAGAAGCCTCTGGAATTCTGTTGCCTAAGTAGAAGGAGAAATGTTGAAGTTGTTTTGCTCCTTCACCTCTCTTCGCCTTGTTTGTCCTTCCCACTTACACCCCACTTTCCTCTATACACACAGTCCCCAATTGGCCTGGCAACCCTAAGTCTGTCCCAATTTAAGGATATGCAAACCAGGCAAGCTTTCTTTGAGATGTCAGTTTCCCATTGTGCCAGCAAAGGATGCTTTTAGTTTCCCATATTTTCTAGGATTTCCCTAAGCTCTCAGCCTCCTTCCCCTCAGACCTCAGTCTGGCAAGGTAGGTTTTCCATCTCCTGCTGGATCACACAGTGAGATGATGCTAGCAAGGTTTCCTGAGACTTTCCTGAAAAGGGTAGTTTGTATGACTGTAATTACAGCCCGAGGCTTTTGAGCAGCCATCAGAGGAGCCCAAAGTACACATTTCCTCACTCAAGAGCCCTTTTAGGAAACTTTTACTAGAATTTCCCTGCAAGAACTACATCCAGGCAGGTGAAACAGCAAGGCTTTCACATATTTGCACTGGATTTACACATAATCTGTGTGTGCCCACTTGGTAACCATTTTCTTAGGCTTCATTTATTGAGCTCCTACTAAGTATCATGTGTTGGGTTGAGCTTCATTAATCTACTGATTTAATAGCCTAGGAAGTCTATTATTTAAGAGTTTTTCAAGGTTAAATCTTGTTGCAGAAATGGGCATTCCTGTTATTCACCTTTTATGTCAGTATAATGTTTTGCACTTTATAAAGTACTTCCATAGCATATCTATGCAGTAGGGTAGGAAAATCAGTCATTATTCCCATTTCACAGATTAAGGAAGAGTATTTGTGAAGTAACTTACCCAGAGTCATCAACCCAATCACTTGAAATGGCCTACACCTAACTTTTCTGACTGCTAGTCTGGTCCTCTTTCCAGACACCATTTTGTGTTTTCTCTGTTTTCCTTTTAACCTTTCTACTGCTCCTTGTCCTCATCTTCTACGTTACAGGCATCGCAGAAATAAAATGAGGACTGAAAGGAGTTCTCAGGAATATGAAGCCAGTAACAGGGGGTAATAGCAAAGGAGAGTTATGGCCCGCCCTCTACAAATCCCAAGATTGGTGTTTGGATAATCTGTAACACCAGTTATAACTGCATGGTTAGAGCACCCCAGCCTCCCCATGGAAGTACCTTATGATTTCTGTAGAATGGGTCCAAGTCTTCCAGGGGCTTCCCTATCAGCTCATGGGGAATGCCCCCATAGAGCTTGGGCAATGTCCTAGAGGCCTTTAGATCAAGCTGAGGTCGAGGCTGGGGCTCTGCCACTGTCTGGCCTTTGAGCTTCTTTTTCTCCTTTTGGATGGCGATCCGCTTCTCGATTGCAGCCAGAGAGTCAGAAGTGAAGGGGCGGAAATTCCGTGCATCTGGGAAGATCACCGGGTAGAACCTGTCATCCATCTTCACCCTCGGGACAGAGACAAGCCACAGATCCTCTGAGCTCTCTGAAGGTAGGAATAAAGCAGCCTGCTTGGGATTCTGCTCTCAAAGGATGCTGTCATGGGGATCAACAAGAGTTGAAGCTGAGGTGAGTGGACTTGGGAGCTGGTCGGTTGTGGAACAGGCCAGAAGAAGTGGCCACCACTGTGGCTATAGCAAGAAATTTGGGTATAGAAAAGCAGGGCATCATTCATGGACTATCTGGGGATAGGTGGGAAGTTAAGTACAGGAACAAGTGAGCAGAAGCAGCCTGGTGTCCACAACTGAGACCCAAACATTGAGCAAGACAATGAAGCTGAACTAGCTGAACTGCTAAAGTGAAGCCTGCAGGCAGACAAGTGGTTGCCATGGTATGAACAGGAGGAGAAGGGATAGGGAATGGAGTGGGCTATAGCTATGGGTTGCAAAAACAAAACTGTAAATGCATGGGTCTTTTCTCACATTTGGTCAGCAAAGTTCTTAAAATGTGATGAAATGGAAACAAACGATCCATAAATACAGGCATGAACATTGATACTAACACCTGTGATCCCATGCCAGCTCTCTTACTTCTGGGACCCAAACTCCAAGAAAGCAGGATTTTCCAAAGATAATCAGGTCACTATACCATGGGACAATAGCTTCTGTACAAACTTTTGAACTTTCTTTATAGCCCCAGGGTTAAAACTAGACTCTGAGAAAAAGCAGTAATGTTCAGTTGAATGCCTGTATTCCCTATGCCAGGTATCCTCTTCCTTTCTTATCTACTGAATATGAATCTAGGATTGACTCTTACACCACTCTAAGGAATTATGGTTAGAAATCCAACACATCATTGGTTTGTTCATCCAACAACTATGTGCCCAGTGTCTGTTCTAGGCATGGTGCTTAGCACTAATGGTAACCCCCCCCCCCACAGTCCCTGTCCTCCTGGTCCTACAGTTATGCTGTCCTGGTAGAGTGGAGAAGAGAGATAAAGGCAGAAAAATACAATAGAGTGGGACCAATGCTACTCCAGGGAGAATAAGAGCATGCTATGTCTGTGCATAGGCTAGGCATCTAACCAATTTTGGGAAATCAGGGATGGTCTCCCAAAACTTTAATGTCTAAGTTGAGACCGGAAGGAGAAATAAGACTTAGACAAGGAAAAACGGGGACGTTAGGATGTTACATGGAAAGCAAATAGTGTGTACAGAGAAAGAACATGGTGTCCAGCAAACAGTTCTTTTTGCCAGGCATGGAGATTTCAAGGGATGGAATAGCCAGATAAATCTCTGTTCAGCAGAGAAAGAGAGAATGCGCAGGCCTGTGAGCCTTAGAAAAGACCACGGACTTCTCCTGAAGGTAATGAGGAGTTGCTACAGGTTTGGGTTTTTACTATCATTGTTGTTGTTGTGGTGGTGGTGGTGGTGGTGGTGGTGGTGGTGGTGGTGGTGGTGGTGGTGGTGGTGGTGGTGGTGGTGGTGGTGGTGGTGGTGGTGGTGGTGGTGGTGGTGGTGGTGGTGGTGGTGGTGGTGGTGGTGGTGGTGGTGGTGGTGGTGGTGGTGGTGGTGGTGGTGGTGGTGGTGGTGGTGGTGGTGGTGGTGGTGGTGGTGGTGGTGGTGGTGGTGGTGGTGGTGGTGGTGGTGGTGGTGGTGGTGGTGGTGGTGGTGGTGGTGGTGGTGGTGGTGGTTGTTGTTATAGAGGAGTAATACTCTCAGGGTTTTTTATTGTTTTTGCTTTTTAAAAATCCTTCTAATTGGTAGGAATTGATAGGGCTGGAGAAAGAAGACTGAAGGTGGTGGTGAGGCTAGAGTCAGAGAAATGAGCTTGAAAACTATTGCAACAAATCAAACCACAGAGGATGACCTAATGGAGTGGATATTTGAGAGTTACTTAAGAAATAGCCTTGACAAGGGAGAGATTTGAGGGACGATCCTTACCAAGTTTCCCAGCTTGGGCAGTTCGGTAAATGGTGGTGCCACTCACTAAGATAGAGAGCACTTGGAAAGGAGAAGACTTTGGAAGTATAAATTCAGTTTAAAACACAGAGTTGAAGGTTCCTGTGGGACCTGCAATTGGAGACAACCAGGAGGCACTTGATTAAAGGGAAATCACAGTGTACAGACATTAGGCTCTGAAAATAGCACAAAAGGAAAAAAATGTAGTCACAACTTCTCTCAAAAATCCCTCAGGAAAGCACCATACTGGAGAAGCATCCCAACCCATTGTTCAGCAAACTCAGTACAGCCAGCTTTTCTTCCAGTGCCAGAGCCAGTCTTTCTTTTATCAGTTAAGCCCCAAAGGAGTTGGATTGTGTTTATGGGCCATAATAAAGGCAACATATACACATATGTGCAGGGAAATGTGATGCTAATACTGTGACAGACCTATGTCTCTCATAAACATGTATGATTGAATTTGTATAAATGAAGTGGGATTATAATAAGATTCTACTGTATTTGGCTCTAGAGCCCAAGGAAGACATTTAAGACAGGGATTAAGTCTTTTGCAGTAAACAGCATGTGGATGCTAGTTAATCCCATAAAATGGGTGAGCTGACACAGATCCCAGATGGCAAAAACTGGATTCTATGATAAATTACAGTAAGGAACCCAGTGGAGGGCTGCTGCCACAGTAATGTTACTGTTAAAGAAGAAACTAACCACTGACCCTGCCATTTTAACCCTTGGGGATATATTGCTTGGGTTCTTGAGGAAAAAAGACTTGATAAAAATAAATAACACAAAATAAAACTGACAAACCCTAAAACTGCACACATTAAAATTTGTTATAGATGATAAAAACAGCTGAAGAACAACATCTTAAACATAACATTGAAAACAGCAAAAATAGACCCAGGAAGAAGAGGACTTTGTAAAAATTATCAACTCAAATCTGGCAAAATAAAACCACAGGCAGTAAAATTTTCTTATGAACTGGAAAAAATTAATTTAAAAATTGAATATTCTTTAATAAAAGTAAACTCAGGAAAATTGGATTGTGGAAATAAAGACTGTACCCACAAAATTAATAAAAATTGATAAATTAGTAGAAAATCAATATGGTACATACTATAATTGACAACATTTGGAATGACTCAAATCTTTATTGTAAAGTTTATACAGAAAATACTTAATTGTAAATTTTTTTCTGTACAGAAAATAGATTGCATTTTGCTAGCAAATTGGTCAAAGAATTAAATTGGCTAAGTACAATTATTTCCCAAGTCTCACTAACAATCAAGTATTGTATTAGTCTGTTTCTGTTGCTTAGAACAAAATACCTAGCAATGGGTGATTTAAAATAAAATGAAATTTATTGCTTACAGTTTTGGAGGCTGGGAATTTCAAAATCCAGGGAACACTTATGGTGAGGGCCTTCACTGGTGGTGACTTTACAGCAATGGAAGGGTCTCACATGGTAGAAAATGGCAGGGCAGAGAGAGAGAGACTGTCACATGCTCTCTTTTTAAAGCACTCAGATGCCTGGGGTCCTAGACAGGGGCCAAAGACAGTCACCTCCACCCAGAATCAGAAGAGGAGCATACCAGCGGTCCTAGGCAGGAGCAGAGGGCAGCATCCCCCACCTGGAAGCAGGCAAGAAGCACACCAGAAACACCACTGCCAAACAGGTGGTCCATGACAGCCACTGACAAACCCATAGCTCCTGAAAAAGTGGCTTGATGATGCAGCTATAGCCACTGTGCAGGTGGCCCACCAGACGCTCAACTGCACTGACACAAGGACAGTCACCAGCAGAGACTGGAAAAAGAAGAGGACAACTCTCTTCTCAAAGCCCACCCAAAGTAACAGAAGAAACAACTGCTCTACCAGATGATGAGAAATCAATGTAGAAATACTAGAAATACAAAAATCCAGGAAAATATGACACCACCAAAAGAATACAGTAATTCTCAATACCAGACCCTATAGAGCAGGAAACACTTGAAATGATTGAAAACGAATTCTAAGTAACAGTCTTAAGGAAACTCACTGAAATGTGAGAAGACTCAGTTAGACAACATAATAAAATGAGAAAAATAAAACCAGGATATGAAGGAGGAAATTTACAAAGAGATTAATACCTTAAAAAAGAATGTAGCAAAACTCATGGAACTGAAAGATTCACTCAACAAAATAAAAAACACAGCCAAGAGCTTAAGCAGCAGGCTAAAACAAGCAGAAAAAAGAATTTCTGATCTCGAAGGTAATCTTTTCAAATTAACACAGGCAGACAAAAAAAAGGAAAAAATTTCAAAAATGAAGAAAATTTATGAGAGCTAGCAGACAACCTCAAGTGCACAAACATTTGAATCATGGGTGTTCTAGAAGGGGAGAAGGAAAGGACTTGGAAAACCTATTCAATAAAATAATAATAGAAAACTTCCCAGGTATAGGGAGAGACATGGACCTTCAAATCCACGAGGTTCAAAGATCCCCAATCACATTCAACCCAAAGATCCTCTCCAAGACACATTATAGTCAAACTGGCAAAGCTCAAAGACAAAGAGAGAAAAGCATCTTAAAAGCAGCAAGAGAAAAGCATCAAGTCACCTATTAAGAGGCCCTATCAGACTAACAGCAGACTTCTCAACAGAAACTCTACAGGCTGGAAGGAAATGGGATGATATATTCAAAATGCTGAAGAAAAAAAACTCCTGCCAGCCAAGAATACTATACCCAACAAGGTTATCCTTTAGAAATGAAGGAGAAATAGTATGTTTTCCAGACAAACAAAAACTGCAGGAGTTCACCACCACATGACCAGCCCTGCAAGAAATCTTCAAGGGAGTCCTGCCTCTGGAATTCGAAAAACAATAATCAGTACCACAAATACACAAGAAAGAACAAAACCCACTGGTAGAACAAAAATGTAAATGAGAAAGAGAAAGAAACTAAATCTTACCACCACAAAAAAATCATAATGGCAATGAAACAAAAACAAACTAACTCTTAGTCTCTTTGGAAGTTGACGGGGAAACAATTCATTTTTCTAAAACT